AAATTGAACAGGTGTTCCTAATAATCCTTTAGGTGAGTGTACATACGTATGTATGTGTGTGTTTCTGTGTATGTGGGTGTATGGATTATGATTATATTACATTGTGGGGCCCATTTTTCAGGTCCCCACAAAGATCTGTGAATGCAATCAAAGAACTAAAGGCTGTTGGAGGCTTGGGGAGTGGCAGTGGCATTCAATGCCTGTCCCAATCAACCTCTGATGCCCACAAAATAGAGGGGCATGTACACAAAATGCCACACAATGAGCAAGAAAAGTACAACATCCTGTCACCTTTCCTATTAGTGTTCTAGAAAGGTGAATGCAAATAAACATGACGGTGCAGTGCTCATGCTGCCTACCCTGATTACACAAGCTCACAACAGAGAGGATCCTTCTTCCCTGGTTCATTTGTTTTTCAAGGACCAACCTGAGTCTCCATATGTTGCACCATGTCTTGTTGCACTCGCCACTGAGCAATACTTCTGTCCCCACGGCCATGGTCTCTGTAGAGGTGTCTAGTGTAGGAACACCAAGAATTAGGCAGCATAAATGAGCTTCAAGATATCAGAATATGCATTTCTGGTCTGTCTGTAGACACATGTTACATGTGCATCAACATCCAAAACACAGCTTACTTCAGAAAATTAGAGTTTTCTTCAAACATCTCTTCACAGCCTGGCCATCGGCAGAGTCCGTTTACAAACAGAGCAGTTAAACTCCCCAGTCCAGATTGAGCAGTGCTAAAGCAAAAGAGGCCGTTTAAGGAACTGTTCACTGTATTTAGGTTATAGCACCAGGAATCAAAAATTGTAGCTATCATAAAAGCTGGAGAAGGTGGAGCCCTGCCTGTGAGTTGAGCTGGCCTTGGCTATACTGTGACTTGTTTGCTGAAGGGGACAATCTGCCATAGTAGGAGAAACTTTGGCACCATCACTGGTCTCCACTTTGCAGACCGAGATGAGGTCAGAAGTGTGTGCTGAGCCCTGGTCCGGCCAAACAGACTGATTTGAAGCAGCAGATCTTGCTGGAGATGCAAGGCAGTCAAAAAAGGGGGAGAAAAGCACATGTCAGCTTGCAGTGAAGTTGTTGACTGTGATTATAAAGGAGACAGGCTACACATTCATGTACAGCATAGACTTTCTTAGTTCTTTCTCCCAACAAAGTCAGAATAACAGATTTTTTTTAATCACATTGTGGGGCTATTTGGTCCCCACAGTGTAATATATACATGACCACATACACATAAATATAAGCTGATCTCACAGAGGTGATGCCTCTCTTTGAGTGTACCTGTCCTACTGGAAGAGAGAAGAGACAGATCCTGGGGAAACAGATGGGTGGCCCTGCGCAGAACCGAGGGTCTGTGCTGACTCAGCTGCGGGGTCAGTGACATCAGCTGCAGGAGCTGTTTGCTCACCTCATCATTAGGACACTGAAAATGACAAGAGCATCACCTCAGTCCTGCCCTCCTCCCCGCCTCACCGTATCTGGGTGTCACAGTGCACCCCAAAGTTTCAAATGATGCGGGAGATACTGGGTGAGATGGCCCTGGGCTTTAGCAAATTTAATGCTGTGGTATAGCGTTAGCAGCTGAGTGGATTTAAACTAAAAAGCAGATTCAGCACTTGGCTGCTACCTTGAAGGACCTGTAGCAGAATGTGATGTAATTGCTTATTTCCTAAAAATGCCTGCATTTCCTCAATGATATTAATGCTTGTTACGGTACACACCTTGCTGTTTTTCTGCCCCATTTACATGATTGGAAGAAATTAAAGATATTCAATATAATTTGATTCTATTCAATCATTAAATTAATTTTGATACTATATGCATACTTTCTATACAGTTATATCTAAGCCCAAGGGCATTAAGGTATGGATTATGCAAAAAAAGAGAGTTACTTTCCAGGAAAGCGGACATTGCCAGTACATACTTTATGGCTGCACAATTAAAATTTGCAGGAATCCAGCCTTGAAGATTCTCACATTTTCAAATATTGTTTAAAAACAGATGATTACCAAACACATTCTAGTACAGGTCCTTCTCAAAAAATTAGCATATTGTGATAAAGTTCATTATTTTCTGTAAT